TGGAGGTTTCTTTCAGTTCCTCTCCTCTTCGGCGTTACCTATGTCATGCTCATAAGCCTCAAGATTTTGGTTGGCTTAAGTCTGCAGAAGTATGCAACTTGGTATATCAACCGATGCCGAAAGAAGAAGCACCATCTACATGCCGACTAACCAGAAGAACGAACCGTATAAAACCTCGCTCACATTATGCTGAAATGAAATCGTTGCTTCAGATGGTTGCCATAACGTGTGAGGAATGCGTAGAGGAGGACGGCTCAACTTGCTCCGCCTTGCTCATGTTGTAGGGGGAAGCAGCAACCTTTAAGAGGAGGAGGACCTTTTTGCCACAGGTTGATCGAGGTATCGTATCGTGTTATGTTTTCAGTATGGAAATGCAAAATGTAAATGAAGTTTTTGCCTCAAATTTTTTGGTATTAACTACATCCCATAGTAGAGGTTGTGGCTTGAGGAGTTGAGATGGCAATCATGAGTTGAAATCTAATAAAATATGATGGTCTACACAAGAAATTGTATCATTGAATAAAAAACGAATGCTAGAGAAGATGTTTACAATATATATATATAGAACTTGTAAGTAGACCTGATGTGGACTTTTGCATGAAGTTCAAAATTATTAGGTTAGATATGATAATCATTTTCTAAAGTGATTGACTTGTCATCACTTTATTATCACTTTTATGTTACTTATAACGTAGATATATTGTGAAGCTTCTAATAATATAAAAATATATTTTTAGTTGTGATATAATTATATACACATTTATTTATTCTATAATTATTTTTTAGATTATTTATTTTGGAAAGTACTTTTAAGTAAAAAATGTTTGAAAATAAATAAACATTTATTCCGAACAACTCGAACCAATGGAATCTAAAAAAATTATCATTTAAGATTGGTTTGAACAAATTTATATTTCAATGATTGATTAGGTCTAAAAAAATGTTCAAATTTGATCCAATCTAACCCATGAAGGTGGACACGAACATAGCAAAAATATGTACATATAAACGTTTTTTCCGAAATCATTTAATATAGTAAATTCGTTTTTATTCCTTTTTTTTCTTTTCTTTTCTTTCTTTCATTTCCTCTCCTTTTATACTCTTCATCTATGTTTCAAATCCAGAATTCAAAGTTTTTTTTTATTTTTTTTTATAGATATATTGAGAACATAAAAGATATTTATTATAGGAGAGACGAATCAAAGAGAACAAAAGGTCTTTTTATCTTTTGATAGTGTATCCTTTTAAAGTCAATGGATCCCTCTTATCCCTGTTTAGTCCCCTCCGTTCCCTTCGGATCATACCTTTCATCTCACTTCCAATTCCTATCTTAATAGGAGTGAGACTTCTACTTTTTCCGCAACCAAAAACCTAGTATGTGGTCATTTTTTAGTATTTTATTGTTAAGTATAGTTATGATTTTTTTAGTTTATCTGTCTATTGATCAAATAAACAGTAGTTATATCTATCAATATGTATGATTTTGAACTATCAATAATGCTTTTTCTTTAGAGTTGGGCTACTGGATCGATCCACTTACTTGTATTATGTCAATATTAATCACGACTGTTGGAATTATGATTCTTATTTATAGTGACAATTATATGTCTCAAGATCAAGGATATTTGAGATTTTTTGCGGATATGAGTTTGTTCAATACGTCAATGTTGGGATTAATTACTAGTGTTTCTTTCAGTTTCTTAGAGTGGCTGATACAAACAAGAGAATGCTAAAAATACAAAAGGACTTAAGCAGAAAGAGAAAAAAATGTAGTAGGTATAAAAAATGTAACGACCCTAAATTTCCACATACTCAGAGTCGCTACTAACGTCTCATGCTCATCTATAATGCGGAAATATAACTCTTACATGAACATAATTGATAATGTAAACTTCAAAAAAACGTTTAAAACAACTTCTTTTCTGGAAAACACAGCCATGGTCTTACGTGTTTAAATATGAAATACTAAAATTTAGAGAAAACAAAAACAAATACAAAATAATTTAAAACAATGAAATGCAAAACAACCTATTATAACTTAATACTAGAAATTTAAATATGAGTCTACCCTATGTACGTGCCACAGTCTCTACTCGCGATGTCGTCATCCTCCGTACAAGTGCGCCTTGCCTTTACCTGAAAAACAATATGGCATACGGCCTTCGAAGAAATACTCAGTAAGTGACCCCACTATAGGGGCCATGCTAATGCAAACTCATGCAATCATGAATAGGAACCTATCTCTAATCATCTTAGGGGTGGCCTCCAGTCTCGGACAAATTGGATGTGTAGTACTTCCCTACACACGACTCACACGTGCGAGTGTGAGTCCCCAGGGCGCTCGCACACCCCCTGGACCCTCTGGTCAAGCTAATCTGTAGCGACGTCCGGAGGTCAGCGGAACCCCATAGTGTCATGCGCCTCATGAACACCCTCATCTGTGTGCTTTCGCACCTGTGCGCATTCGCACTCATCATCTCTAGGAGAAGTAGCCCTATGCTTATGAACATACAAAATGCATGAGGTCCCTCTAAATCCATCGTAATGTCTCTTCTGACACAACCCTCTAGTCTCATCTCTTTGTTACTCTAGGTAACGCATACTCGTGGATATTTATATTAATATCATTTTCATGCTCTTAGGGTTGTGTCTTATGTCGATCTAACGACATGATGCAATATGGCACTCATCATCATCTAGCATGCTCAATATGGAAAACATCATCATATTAAGGTAAAAATCATGCAATCATCATGCTCATCATAATGCCACAACGTGCGTCAAACATATCAAGCATCACTCAACAAAATATGTATCTACTGCACATATCATCAAGCATCATAATCCACACATCATCATAACTCATGCAATTTATTTAGCCTATCCTATAGTAAGGCCACTTACTTGGTTGGCCTTGGCTGAAGTACTTCCTAAATAGCTAAACGTAAGCTCTCGTTCCGTGAGAGCTGCTTCCTACGTCCCCGGGGTTTGTTTCCTATCACACCGTCCACCACTTTCCATGAGTATTTCACAATTAATTTACTTATAATTTAATAAATGTGAAATACGACTCTAAAACGGCCTCGGATACCTTAATAGGGGCTGAAAACAGATTCGGGAGGGTCGGAACAGTGGAAACCGGGCTGAAAACAGGTGAGCCGAGCCGAATAGCCGCTGGAGCCGCCGGAGGAGCTGCCGGAGTGTCACCGGAGGGAGCCCGAGCCGTTTGCGCCGAGGGACTGCCTGCGCCGCTCTGTGACACGTGGCAGCAGCAGAGAGAGCCACGTCGGGCAGTAGTGTCGGGTCGAAGCGCGGGTCGCAGTCCGGTTTGGGTTGTGGTTCGGGTCGCGGGCTGTGGAAGGCCACTGGGCCAAGACTAATCGTTGGGCCTCGGCTTACTGGGCTGGGCCGCAAGTGTTTGGTTTGCAGGTCGGCTCAATTGGACCGTGGGTCTAGTCTGGGTTGGTTCAACTGAACCGTAGCTTCTGGGCTGGTTTGAGGTTTGGGCCGCTGTAGTTGGGCTGGGCCGAAGGCAGAGGCCAAGGGAGGAACGGGCTGGCTCTCTCGGGTTTTGGGTTTGGGTTGACCCGGATTCGTGGATCTCGTCTTCCTTACCCGACTTCGGCCGATTTTCCGGCGAGCTTTCTCTCTCCTTCCCGCGGTGTTTCCGTTGCCGATTTCGGTCCTCTTCCTTCCCTTTTTCTCTTTGTTCGTCGTTCTTCTTTCTTTTCTGGGAGTTTTGCGGCCTAAAAGCTCCTAAAAGCCACAGATCTAAGAATCGATTAAGAAACCTAATTTTCCGACCTCGGTTACCGACGACGACGCTTACGAAATAACACAAAACGCACCCTGAGTTATTGTGCTTTCGTTAGGGATCCCCCTTATGGTGGTAACAGGTCGTTTGGTGTCGGTTTGAGGGTGGTTTGAGGGCTCGTCGGAGAAACTGGACACTCGCCAACGTTTGTCCGAAATCTCTCTCTCTTTCTTGAAATTTTCTATCTTTTCTCCCTTTGCAGGTGTTCTGAAGATGCTGGGTGTCGTGGGCTGAGGGCTGGGCGTGCTATGGCCGTCGTTTCGTGAAACTCGGCGGTCGCCGGAAAACTCGGGGTTTTCCGGCGACTGAGTTTTTAATTTTTAATTTATTTTATTATTTATTTATTTTTTATTATATATATATATGTTTTCTTTCTTTCCGGGTCGTTACAAAAAACTTCTATGTTCATCTCGTGTAAAAAGACACCAGCCGTGTACTGGTTAAAAAGAGAAATGGATGCCACCACACCTATCCATTTTTGACCTTTTCACAGTTGAGAATTCCGAAGTGAAATTTTGTCTTTGTCGATTCCATTTGGAAAGAAAGGTCGAAATAAGAAAGACATTATTCCCTTCTTGTCAAGTACCACTGATACAAAAAATTAATTTCAAGTGATTAGGTCTTTTAGCATAGATCACAGTTCTTGATACTTCTTATAGCTATAAAATTGTCATGAGGAGATCTATAATTTTTTGAAGAAATCGAAGGTTAATTTAGATGAGAATGAATCTACAAAATGCAAAAAAAAAAAAAAAAAGAGAAAAAAAGTAGAAGCTTGAAGTCGATTTCTCTTCTCCAATTTCTTGTTCTAGGGCTCAAGAAACACCAATTGTGCAAGTACTTCGAGAATTGGACTATATTATGTTAAATAATTCTCGATCAAGATTTTTATGAGACAATTGAACAATTAACCATATAAACAAATAAGTGGTGATAGACACGAGAATTACTGCCTCCTTAATGATATTGACTCTATAGAGGCCTATTCAAGAGATTTCAACTAATTTTTATTAGAGAATCTAAGAACAACATCCAAAACAACAGTACGACGAGAACTATGAATTAGAAATTAAGATGAGGTCGCACCTCGAACACCTCGAACACCTACTTTATATTGATGAACAACTAGTATACGATGAACAACTAGTATATGATCAGTAATAAAAGGTTAGTGAGAAGTAGTGAACTAAAATTTATATAAGATGAGAATTAAAAATAGATTAAAAGTTAAAAAAACTCCCCTAATGGTGTGTGAGTAACTTAAAAGTGATGCAAAATTATCTCCCAGAATCTGCTTTTGGTATCATTTGGTTAGTGGGAAAGCTATCATATCGGTTACTCTCTTCCGTACACTCAGTTCCAGATTCAACCTCGCGACGAACACAATCAACACCATCTTCCTTCTCATTCTCCTTTTCTTCCCTCAACAAAACCTCTGATTCTTCAACTAATGGAGATTTATCCTCAACCATCCATGGATGACCAAACGCCATATGAAACAACCCTTCAAGCTCTGCAGCGACCTCCTTCATTGTCGGCCTTTCTTCCCCTTTCACTTTCAAACACCTCTTCGCAAGGCTCGCAACTTCCTTCACTTGCTCGTACTCCACATCGCCGCCCAAATTTTTATCCAAAATTTCTCTCAGCCGATTCTGTTTCAGAGCAATTAGAAAGTACATCGACAGATTCCGTTCTTCCTCCGATCGGCTGAAGGATAGAGGAACTTTTCCGGTCATTAATTCGACGAGAACAACGCCGAAACTGTACACGTCGCTCTTCTCTGTTAATTGACTGGTTTGCAGATACTCTGGATCTAGGTATCCTAGAGTTCCTTGCACGATTGTGTTCAAATCGACCTGATCCAAGGGAACTAACTTCGAAGCGCCGAAATCGGAGACCTTCGCGGTGTAATTGTCGTCGAGGAGAATGTTCGTGGACTTCACATCTCTGTGAATGATCGGAATCGAGGCCGATGAGTGAAGATAGGAGAGAACTCCAGCGGTTTCCGATGCGATTTTAAGGCGGATCTTCCAGGGAATCGGCCGCGGCGATTTTCGCTTGTGGATGTGATCGAAGAGCGTACCGTTGGAGACGAACTCGTAGACGAGAAGAGGAACTTCTTCTTCCAAGCAACAGCCTAAGAGTTTGACGGTGTTGCGGTGATTGATCTGCGAGAGGACAATGACTTCGTTGATGAACTGCTTGTTTTGAGCGTTGTCGACAACCTTGGATTTCTTGATGGCGACGGCGGCGCCGGTAGGGAGGATGCCTTTGTAGACGGTTCCGAAGCCACCTTTGCCGACGATTCGGTCGTCGGAGTAGTTGTTAGTGGCTTTCCGTAATTCCTCTGCGGTGAAGATCTTTGCAGTTTGGTTGGCTTCATCGCGGATTGAAAGCTGTTGCTCTAACATTAATCCGCCGTTTCGTTCGAAGAAATTAGCTTTGAGTTTGATGAGCTTCCATCTCTTGAAGCCGATGTAGAACCAGGACGAACTTACTAGCACACCCATTACTGCCAGCGCGATACCTGCCGTTCAAATGCTAAAATTATTATTATTATTATTATTATTATTATTATTTTTTTGTTAATTAAAATTACAAATTTAATTTTTTCCTAATAATTTATTTCTAATTTTCAATATTTAATGAGTCTTACAATGTTTTTTTAAAAAATTTGTATTTAAAAATCTTTGAACTATATCATTTTTTTTAAGGCATGAAATACACTTCACATAAAATTTACTTTTATATTTAATAAATCAATTAATTTTAAATTTTTTATAAAACCACCTAGGTTCCAGAGAAAAAAAAGTCGATTGAGTTGAGTTTTTTAGAAAACCAAAAATTTAGTTCGGTTTGCAAAAGTTGACAGTTTTGACCCGACCAATCCAAAAAAGGGTAACCTTATCTAACCCTATTCTACTTTTTTTTTAAAATATTTAAAGTTTGTAACCAATGTTGTTATTATAGCTGGTAAATATTTGATATTTAAATTTTATGAGATTTTAGTAGATAATTTAGATTTTTTTAAAATAATTAAAAAAATAACCGGACAACCCAACCAACTTTTGGAGTTGGGTTGAAACTCTATTTTTGGGTTGCTTGAATGACCAATCTAATCAACCAGAAATCTTGAGTGGATAAAAAAAAATTCAATCCAACTCATTTACCCAGTAATTTCAAATTTAAAGTTATAATTCTAAAAAAAAAAAAAAAAATTTTACATTTAAAATAACCTTAGACACGTGTAAAAAGGTGTAGGTTACCATTTTAAAACAAAATTGTAAAAAAGAATCTAAATTGATTGATAAATTAAAATTAATTTTGTAACAATATTATATTATGAATTAGTGATAATTTAAGAAGAGGTTGGAAGAGGGAATATGATACCAGAAACTAATATGAGAGTATGAAACCGGCGGCGGGGAACACAGCCATTGCTATCCTTTCTGCCACTGCCGGAGTATCCATTTGGGCATTCACATCGATAACCTCCTACCGTATTTATACATATATCCGTACACTCGTTTTCATTTGGATCTTCACATTCATTTACGTCTGAACAAACAAATACAGTAAGTTATCACATCACAAACTTTTCTTCATACAAGGAGCTGAATAAGAAAATATCTAAGCATACATACAAATTTGTGACACAAAATGTGGAAAAATTATTTAACGATGTATCAGCTACGATGCTACCGTCGATCCGTGAAACTTTGTAAAACATTAATATTCATTTGGTATAAACAAGTTTCTTGTGTTTAAGTAAGATAGGGGCAATGAATAGACATAAGCATAAGAGATAGACTTGTTGAAAGGTCGGGTAGGACCCTGAGCTTTAATCTCGAAAGTCAAGTTTTTAGAGGGAATTTGGACATGCAGTTTTGGAGTCAAATCCGTCATATGAAGTATGAAAATCTTGCCAAATTTGATGTCAATAAGACATTCGGCGGATGCTCCACGACATCGTATGCCCGTTTGTTAAAATCATGTCTACCCACCCGATTGGAAATGTCTCAAAATGTACTATAGGGGAAGACATGGTGTCAGCTCTCCATCACCCTTGGGCCCTGGGGTCTAACCGAGCTATCCTGTGATACATTCGTATGTAACAGTGAGGGCCAGCGTTACGAGGCGAGTGTCTAGGGCGTCTTCCTTTGAAATTAATTTTTTTTCAAAGATAGTATTAGATGACACGGGTGTGTTGGTATTGTGCCCCATCCCATGTGTCGGAGATTAGATTACACCCACTATCTAAAACGGATGGCGACAATGGTTTAGCATGGACATGGGAGAGTTTAATGGCAGATGAGACCCCAAATGAATGGATGTTCCGAACGCTCCAATGAGATGAATAACATGTGGGCCAAGCCACAATGGTTGAGCTGTCTCGAGACATGAGATGGAATCACGATACATGGATCATTCGATGGGAACCTAGATGATGATGAGACGTAACGTTGCTTACGAGAGAGTTTGGCCTGGAGTAGAGGTAACTAATGACTTGGCCTAGTGTAGAAGCAAGTCAACTAGAGTCGCAAACGATTAAATACGCACCCACTAACGGTTTGACACATAGGTCATTTGTGGGTTGAAGCCAAAACTCCTCCAAATCATTAGTGTCGTGAGTTGAAGACACCTCAATAGGGAGAGTTCTACCCGTCAAAAAAGTTAGACCAAGCTCATTTACCTACGGTTTAAGGTTTGGACAAAACTTCTAAACTGGAACCAACCAAATAAAAGAAATAAAATCAATATTTTTAATTTAAAAAAATTAAAGTAAAAAAAAAAAATAATAATAATAACTTGACGTACCTTGGCACCCAACATGTGGCAAATAAGGATTCCCAGTGAATCCCTGCAAGCAGTTGCAGCGGTAGCCCCCCATGAAGCCAGGGTTCAGGCAGCTACTATTTCCCTGACACGCAAACCCTTGGCTGCCCGCAGCCGCCTCACACGACTCATTGCCGATGGACCACTCCAACACCATGGGCACTGTGGCGTTCGGGAAGTGTGGAACATAAGCCGGCGAGAACCTGAACTCACCCTCCTCCACCACAAAGCTGTACCCACACGAAAAGATATCCGAACCGTTCGTCACATCGCTTCCCACCACCGTCAAATTCATCTATTTAATTCAATCTCGTTAATTCTCATACAATAGTTTTAGTGTTAATAATAGATGGAAGGAACAATAAATGAAAAGATACTTATGATAAGTCGTAAGGAAAGACATATATCAAAATGATATATATGGTAAACTATCATATTTGGTAAACTATAACTCAGTATTAAGTATTCTTAACAAAAACCTTGCCTGTTTCAATCCACTAGGAATTGTCATTTGGCAACACCCGACACCGGAGCACGTCCCGTTCGGCATATTCCGATAGCTACTACAAAACGATGCACAACCCGACAAGTAATCCTCATCATCTTGGAGGATGCCTCCGATCATCGAAACAGTACTACAACCGACGACAGTGAAGATATTCTTCGTCGAGATCGTGAACTTGTCAAACTTAAGAAGCGTTTCATTGTGGCCAGACATATTTCCTTTGCCATCAAAACAATAATTAGCCACAAGATTTTCGATAACCAAATCAGCATCTTCCACCGAAACACTCATGATCGGAATGTCGTCGACGAATGGCTTGTTGGGAAGAATCGAGGTGTTGCAAGTGACGAGAAATGCCTCATTAAGGGAGCATTCAGGAGTGAGTCCAAATGGGTATGGAATCTCGACTTCGCCGCATTGATACGAGCAGCCCGGCAAGGCGATGGCTGACCGGTCGACTTCATCGTCTGCCATGGCAGCCATTATCATGAAGGCGATGTAGAACCATGTTGGCATCTCCAGTGAAGAAGTCATTGGGGATGCTTGAAAACTAGGAAAGATAAAAAGTTGACATATTATTCAAGAGTGTTATAACCTAAAAGTCGCCGCTGGCCGGTTTGAGTATATTAAAATCTGGATCATAATGAACAATATGAATCTTAACGAAAAGGACGAGATTCTTTTGACAATTCCAAAGTTATGGGAGAGGGAAGTCGTTGTCGGTTGAGTTGTTGTCCTGTCGTTGGGTATATAACTGTTTGTGTCTTTGGTAATATCCCATCCAAGATTTCTCCGACCAATCATTAATGTTTTTTCTTTTAAAGAAGCCTCCAACCAGCGTTGGCCTACACATAATTGTACTTGCAATGTTTGTGTTGAATGAAGCTGGCAGGGTTTTTCAACCTTTTGCATCAATGTGTGATCTATTTTGAAATAAACCAACTTTAGGGAGAATCCGTGCGTGTCATGGATGTGGAATTATATTCGGAGTATCTAATAGAATATGAGTTTATAGATCAAGGTTACGTTGAATACAACTCTTTTTTGGGAAATACTTGTAGTCTTTATTAAGATCAATTAAGAAATAGATTATAAAATACTTTTAAGACAATACTAGAATGCAAATTGGGTGGGGTGGAGGAGTATTTAGGAAAATAAATTTGAAAACATGCGAGGTTTGATGATACGATAGCATATGCTCTCCCTATGATTGATAGAGTTCCCAACAATTACAAAGATGCTATTCAGAGCCCGAATGACTTACATTGGCAAGAGGCTATGAATGAGGAGATAGGAGTCATGGCAGATAAATGAAACTTGGGACTTGGTACGACTTCCGAAAGGTAAGAAGGAAATTGGTTGTAAATGGGTCTATGCAAAAAAGGAAGACTCTTTTGGTACACGTTATAAGGCTCGACTTGTGGCTAAAGGTTATGCATAGAAGGAAGGAATTGATTACAGTGAGATTTTCTCACATGTGGTAAAGCATTCTTCCATTCGGATTTTGGTGGGGTTACTCAATTTAATCTTGAGCTTGTAGAACTCAATGTAAAAATTACTTTCTTGCATGGAGATTTGGAAGGATAAGTATATATGACACAACCAATTGGTTTTCACATAGTTGGGCAACAATATTTGGTATGCAGATGGAAGAAATCTTTGTATAGGGTGAAGCAATCTCTTCGCAATGGTATAAGAAGTTTGATCACTTCATGGTAGAGTATAAATACACTCATATCAATTTGATCATTGTGTATATTTTTGGTGCCTTGACGATGGATCGTTTATCTATTTGCTCTTGTATGTTGATGACATGTTAATTACTTTCAAGAGACAGGTGTAGATTGATAAGCTCAAAGATTAGCTTTCTAAATGTTAAGGACATTTAATAATAAATTATAGTTTACCATATATATCATATTTGATATTTTAATATAAGGCAAATATCTTACCATCCGTATCTTTCCATTTATTGTTATTTCAGTTTATTACTCTTTCCATATCCTAGTAATTTATTTGATTATAAATAAGATAAGTTTCACACCATTTAGGTGTGGTGGATTAAACAAACATTATCATGGTATCAGAGCCCTTTCGGTTTAGTAACCCCGATCCGCTTCTAAATTTCCTACTCATCTTCTTCTCCACCACCCCTGCTGGCTTTGACGCCGCAGGGGCCGTCTCCATGATTGTCACATGCAAAGTCGATTGATTACTCTTCGGCTCCACCCTTTTGACCTCCAAATCACCCTTCGCCATACTTTGTACATACAACCTCGCCTTTTCCAACACAATTGATTTTTCCTCGACCAACATAGTCTCTTCCATTTTCTTCCCAATCTTCCCTTCATCCTTCACATAAACCTTAACCTAAACCTATCAACCTTCTGCAGAAATTTACTTTTGGAATCTAGGTGCTGCACTGGCCTCTTCGCCAACCAAGCCGTCGCCGCCCTTCTAGTCAAAATTGGCTCCTTCGCCCACTGTGGCGACTCTTCTGGCTTCAACATTGTCTGTGTCCCTTGCTCTAGGTTTCCCCTACTTCTTGGGTTACATATTCTCACCAGAGCCAAGGCAGCATCATTGGTAAGCGACGATCCCTCTTCATGGGTTAGACATATTCTCACTGAAGTCAAGACAACATCGTCGGTAAGCGACGATCCCTCTTCATGGGTTAGACATATTCTCGCCGAAGTCAAGGCAGCATCGCCGCTGAGCGACGATCCCTCTGTAGTTTTCAATGGCTAAGAAAGTGTTTCTCTACGCCTCCTTTAAACTAGGTTGTTGACATCTTCACAAAAAGTGTTTCTCAACCTCTCTTTGAATTTTTTAGATCCAAGCTTCACGTTCGTTCAAATCCGATGCTCAGCTTGCGGTGGGGTGTTAAGAACATTTAGTAATAAATTATAGTTTATCATATATATCATATTTGATATTTTATTATAAGACAAATATCTTACCATACTTATCTTTCCATTTATTGTTATTTCAGTTTATTACTTTTTCTATATACTTGTCATTTATTTGATTATAAATAAGATAACTTTCACACCATCTAGGTGTGGTGGATTAAGCAAACATTCTCACTAAAGTATTTGAAATGAAAGATTTAGGCAAAGCAAAGAAAATATTTGGAATGGAGATAGAGCGAGATAGAAGTAGAGGTACCATTTGATTGACTCGGTCTCAATACCAACGCAAAGTGTTATGCAAGATTTGGTTTGAATAATTCAACTAAACCTACTAACACACCCCTTACTCCTCATTTCAAGCTTAGTGCTCTCATGTGTCAAGTTTTGGTGAGTCGTTATATGCATAATCATGGCAAAGAGCATTGACAGGCTGTCAAATGGATTCCTAAGTAAATTCTCTGTACTATTGATGTTGGCATCAAGTTTAAAAAATAAGAGATGTTTAATCTTAACAACTTCGTAATTGGCGATGTGGATTCTGACTATGCTAGTGATTTGGATAAGCAACGATTCACTACTGGTTATCTATTTACTATGGCGGGTGGACAGACATGTTTGTTGGTGTTCAACATTGCAGTCTATTGTTGCTTTGTCTACCATAGAAGGAGAGTATATGATAGTCACTGAAGCTTTTAAAGAAGCTATTTGGATGCATGGTTTAGTTAATGACTTGCGTATTACTAAGAAACAGGTAGAGGTGTTTTGTGATAGCCAGAGTGCTATTTGTTTGTTAACGAACCAAGTCTATCATGCTCGTATGAATTATATTGATTTCCGATTTCATTTTGTTGGAAAAATTATCAACGAAGGGAACATTCGTTTATCTAAAATTGGAACTGCCCATAATCATGCGAATATGTTGACAAACGTGATTGCTCGTAAAAAGTTTTGACATTGTTTCGATCTAATTAATGTTGGTCAGAAGAATATTTTGTTGATTTGGTGGCAGTCAAACCAGTTATCTACTTGGAAATCTTCTATGGAGATTGTTGTAAATTGTCACGAAGAATAGGTGGATTCATAAACATTTTCAGTACATTCCCCTCTCCTATGCATGTATTGGAATTTATTTGGTTCATCTCCCGTTCATGTGGTTCACCACTTTGAAATTTTTTTTTGTTCATTTTCCATTTGATATATGAATCATCTTGATTCATGTATGACATTAATGTTTCTATGTGTTAAAGAGTTGTCTAAGATGGTTGAAAAGCATTGAGATTGAATGTCATTTTGTATTTACCTAATGATATTTGGTGGGAACTTTGTTGATTGAAATTTTGGTGTGCGAGAATGTGAGATATACACTTTTATTATTGAAATTGGTTCGATGTAAGAAATTTTTTCTCTCTAAACCACATGTAAATCTTTGTATTTTTATTTTATTTATTTTCTGTTTTTTTGGAAATGGTTCATGCCCTTGTTGAGGCGCCTTGTCTAGCGACCATTGATAACATACGGTGGTGAAACGTCGGCCGACGTCGAGCAAGCTAGGCAATCAACCACTTTTTCATGCATGTTTTGGAGACGTGGGTTGCATTTTGTTTCTTCTTCTTCTACGGTCACGCTCATAAGCATCACAGGCAATGCCTCTAAGGGTCATTAACTCATTCAAAAAAGGTTTTTTCGTTTTTTTTAGTATCATACCATATCCACGAAAGTGGTGGTGCCCTAGCCCCATGAACGACATTGCTTGTCTTTCCTTTTGTTTTGTTCTTGAACCAATCGACTCCAAATTCGAGTTCCCATTCTATTTCGATGTTAAAGGATAAGCTTGTGCATTTTAGAGGTATACACAAGTTGAGTTGGATTGGATTAGTGATCCAAAAAACTCGAATAGTGTTCACAATCTTATCCGATTTAACCTTTTATTTTAGGGTTGGGTTGAGTTGATGTTTTTTTTAATTATTTAAAAAAATATCTTAGTTCTCTTTCTATAAGTTACCCTAATGACACTCATAAAACTCATATATTAAACATTCACAAATTAAAACAGATCACAAACATCAGCTACAAATGTCAAATATTATTAATTTTCATAATAAAGTAAAATAGGGTTGGGTTGGATTGAAACTCTATTTTTGGATTGGTCGAGTTGACCCGACTAAAAAAATATCAATCGCAATGACTCGAATTTTCGGTTTTTCAAAATTAAACCGAACCCAGCAAAAGAAAAAAAAAATCTAACGTAACCCAACATTTATAGTTTGGATTGAATAGTATGAGTTAGTTGGATTCTGAGTTATATCAATACCCTTAGTGCATTTTGTACTATCCAATTAATATTTTGAGCTTTCAAATACCAACCCTTAAGTTTTCGAATTGGATTAAAAGCTTTACGTTGAATTCTAATTTTAGAATTTTTGAGAAAGTATTGAATTCTAAGTTCAAAGCCATTTGAACAAAGGTTAAAATTTGTGGAGTTTGTATGTTATGTGAAACGAACGTGCAATGTTGTGCATGCCCGAAGTTCTTCAATATTACATCATAATAATAAATTGATATTTATATGTTCGCTCTTTTGTATGATCATAAAGTTACAATAATTATCTTTCTTATAAGATGACTTTCTATACATGAAACGAATATTGGTTGAATGATATGCATGATATTAATGCATGTTTCGAGAGTTTAATGTTTTTGTGCAAAAATGAAACTATGATCCCGTCTCAATCTCCGCCCCACCTCACTCTACTTCTTTTTATATATATATGATAAGTTTCTGTGGGGAACTCGATCTCCACATATTTTTCGAAGAGAATTCGTACTTAAATCTCTGCAAAAATAAATGAAAATTTTCACGATAACAAAGGATGAAATATGAGACAGAATCGAGGATAAGAAAGACCTTCATATCTCCACCTTACGTAAAAGATATCTCGAGTTTTCACTATCATTAATTTTTAAAGAAAGTTTTGATAAACAATTGTTCTATAATATTCCCCTCTTATTTTCACTTTTGGTCGGATCATGATCCACCCATCATCTTTACAAGAGGCTTCCCATTCGACCAAACAAAAAATAATAATCTAAATCTTCACATAATTATACAATTCAATCCGCCATCAAACTCCATCATGGACAGCTCAAGCCACTCAAACCAAGAGATCTACCGTCATAGTCGGCCACGTCACCGCCTCCTCCTCGAAATCTCCATCTTTTGCTATCACATTGTAACAGTCCTATTGAATAACTTTTCAACTTTCTATACCATCTCAAACCTAAACCTTCCCACCTTTGGCGGGAAGGTTCCCATCAACCTTCACAGTTTTAAAACTCGAAGAAGCCACAGAATTCGTCCCTTTGGACGGCGCAGAGGACGGTGTGGGTAGCTTCTTTGGCAACATCTGCTCCCAATACTTTGTAGGCACCCTGGCCGCCTCCGACGACATGGAGGCGAGGGCAAGAACGAGAAGAAGGATGAAAATGAATCGAGGGCGGAAAGAAAGAAACATGATATTGGTGTTGTAAGAGTGGAAGGAAGGAGGAGGGTTTTGAGAAGGAATGGAAGGAGACATGGAGAGTAAAGTAAGGAAAGGGCCAACTAGTTTTGCTAATGAAAAGGTGTGGCAATGGCAGACAAAACATGTTTTGCCCTTCCATTACCTAATACCACAAAACAAAAAACACAACATCAAAAGGAATCTCTGTTTCAGTGAAGTTTTGAAGCTTTTATAAAATATATAAATATGTATTTTTAATTTTGTTTTAAGGTAAGAAATCTTTGCTGTCGGAGTTGTTGGTGTTGTTTTTGAAAGTGTGCGACTTAAGTAGTAATTATGAGTTAAGCCACACGTACAAGTTTGGTCTTGCTTTACTTTAACAATTATTAATCTATTTTAAGGGTCATTTGAATTAATTTAGCTTCATTCAATAATTATTTGGTTATTTGTTTTTTTTTTTTTTAAGAATTTTATGTTTGGAATCTAAGTTCGGTACCTGACGGCATTTCCTATGACATGGTTACATCACTTACTCTTCGCTTCTTATGAGTGAAAACTAAGTTTTTCCAACATGTTTTGTTTTCACTCACATGCATCCCCTACAGCATGGTCATGTTTCCGAATTCGGTTCCTGATGGCTTTTGCATTCCCTGCGACATGGTCACGTTACCTACTCTTCGCTTCTTACGTGGCTCCAACATTCCTCTGCTTCCCCTACAGCATGGTCATGTTTCCGAGTTCAGTACCTGATGGCTCGGGTATTCCCTACAACATGGTCAAGTTAGCTACTCTTCGTTTCTTACGTGGCTCCGACATTCTCTCGCATCTCCTGCGACATGGTCATGTTTCGAATTTGATACTTGATGGCTCTGGCATTCCCTATGACATGGTTACGTTAACTACTCTTCGTTGCTTACGAGCAAAGACTAAGTTTTTCCAACATGTTTTGTCTTCACTCATATGCATCCTGAATTTAGTACTTAATGGCTCTGACATTCCCTCACGTCCTCTGCGACATAATCATATTACTTACCATTCGCTTATTAAGAGTGAAGAATAAGTTTTTTCAATATATCTTGTCATCACTTACATCCATCTCCCTTCTTAAGAAAATCTTAATAATCTAAAGAAAATCTTACTTACCGGTGAATTACGTATAAGAGATTCATATTTTTGCTCTTTCTTAATTAACTAACTAGTTCTACTTGTTAGTTAATTAATTAATATTTTTTTTTAATTAATTGAATTTATTTTAAATAAAATAAATTAAGAGATAGGTATAAAAAAAAAAAAAAAAAAAGTTTTTAAAACCGTAAAACAAATATGGGATTTAAATACCCTTATTCATTCCCACCCGCTTTTCGTATGAACGGAATGTGTCCCTAAGCTCTTAGAATATATATATATATATATATAAAATTAAGAAAAGGTGAGAAATATTATAATAATAATAAAGTTAGGGTATTATTAAATATTGGTTGAAGGCTAAAACAAAAGCACTATACTAATATTAAACCAATTCTTTAGTGGTTAGCCAAAGAAAGGAAAGGTGTTTGAACATAAAATAAGGTTGTGTGTAGGAGAAATGGGCAACAGTGTTAAAAGTGAAGCTAATTTTGATACACTGTTGTTTGCCATTTACCCAACAAAACAATGTCTTTTTTATGCCAAATCAAATTAGAAGAGTACAGCATGTGGTTTTTCTATACTATATTCCTCTTTTTTTTTTTTTTTTTTTTTTTTTTATATATATATATATATAT